AAAAAAACAATATCACTAAATTTTTATTAATTAAATAAAATTTAAAAAATTATTTGAAGAAAATAAATTTCTAAAAATGATTCATAAGAATTTTCAAGAGTTTGAAAAAAAAATAAGTATTTCTTAATATAGACGATGATAAAAAAAAGAAAACATTGTTTTAATGTATTTGCCTTTTTCCTATGGTCTCTGTTTTTTTTATCGATCTATTAATTGACTTTCTTTCTTTGAAATTAAATTTTAATGAAAAATATGTTTTTTATTTTCGCTGATAAAGTACTTAGAGTTCAACTAAAATTAATATAAAATATCTGTATATAAATATCGATAGACCATTAAAAAATTCTCGTGTACATATATTAAACAATAATCGATAATTTCAAACATGTCAATGTAGAATAATAATATAATTTACGTATTTTATTATCAATTATAAATAAAGTACCTGATGATTGATTTTTTGTTTTTTCGTGATATTATTTATCATTTTCAGATGTTATGATGCATCGCATACATACAAAAAGATTCGATTTTTTTTTTCTTTAACTTGATAAAATTTAGTATTTTATTCTAAGAAATTGTCTAAATATTGATTTATATGTTTCCGAAGCAAACTACAATAAAAGTCTTTATGGACATAACAAATACAATGATGTGATCTTGTTCTTTTTTGTATGCTTATATGATGAGAAAAAGAAGAAGAAAGAAAAAAAAAAAAAGAGTTGTATTTTATTTGCTCTGTCGATGCCAATTCAAATCAGTAATCTCTCTTTCCTTTACTCTCTCTCTCTCTCTCTCTTTGTCATTCATGTTTGATTCTATTGATGTGAGATTCAGACAAGCATTGCTTTAGTTCGTCTTATAAACAGACTACTAAAAACCTTTGATACATTTTATTCTAAATATAGTAAGTTTTTGATTGTTCAAACAATAATTGTTTTTTTTTTTTGTCAAGTGGTAGTTATCAGATAAAGAAAAAAACGAAAGAAAGATACGATTCTCAATTTTACATGTACACATGAATGAAAAGAATTAGAAATTAATCGTAGGCAAAAATCATTAGATTTTTCTTTTTTTGTATATTATTAAATATAATAGAAAGTCTATTTTTGATACATAACTAAACTAGTTACTTATTCATCTTTTTTTTTTATTTTGTTTTAGAGTCCTTTGATTAAAATTGACAATGTTAAATATATGTCAAATTGTAATAAGATTCTTTTTATTCCTTTTTACAAAAAAAAAAAATAACAAACAATTAAGTAATGATAGAAGTCAAACAAAAGAAAATGAAAACGAAAAGGCGTGGCAGAAAAAGAATCCACTAAATAAAACAAGGTTATTCTATGTAGTCATTTACAGGGTGGCCCAAAAGTCACACACCCGAAAAAAAGTTGAATATCTCTATTATGGCTAGAGTAAACTAGCTGATTTTTTTATCAATGCTAGAGGCATGTTCAAGCTTTATATCCAGAAAGACATGCCTAGAGAAGTCTTTTGTTAAGTATCACTATTAATTGCAACAAAAAAATTTTACTTTTTTTTTTACAAATGAAGAAAAACAACATACTTAACAAAGGATCTCTCTAGGCATGTCTTTATGGATATAAATCTTGAACATACCTCTAGCATTGATAAAAAAATCAGCTAGTTTACTCGAGCCGTAATGGAGATATTCAACTTTTTTTCGGTAAAGTGACTTTTGCGCCACCCATTACATTGTTTTTTTTCCATCTGTGAAAAATTAAAATTTTTTGGTTAAAGTCAATAGTGACACTTAAAAAAAGGGTTCACTCTCGCCTTGTCTTTATGGATATGGAGTGTAAATATGCGTTTACTAGTGGTAAAAAAATCAGCCAGTTTGCTAGAGCCGTTATGGAGATATTCAATTTCTTTTCGGGTGCGTGACTTTTGGGCCACCCTGTATTTACATTCTTATTTAGATAATTCGGTTAGAACAAATGTATTAATAATAAAACATTTTAAATTGATAGTTAAATTTTAGTTTTTACACGCATTTCATATGTTCATATAGAATTACAATCGATCTTCTGTGTATTAACCATTCAAGGTTATGAATTCATTATGTCTAATACATTCGTTTTTTTTTTATTCATATTAATAGAAGAAATTTCCATACTACTTGACTATACCTCTTTACAAAGTATCACATTGAATCTATGTAAATCAATGTGTCAGTTATTTGTAAGATGACTCTTTAAAATTTACTAGTATGTGTCAAGTTTTTTCATCATTAACATTAACCATGATAGAATTTAAATAGATGAAGAAAACTATTGAATATTACTGTGAATAGAGTATGATTTTCTAGAACTTCTTTAATAAAAGAAGACAAAGTAAAGTGTAGATATTTTAAGATAAAACATTAATCTCTATTACGTGCTGTTATATAAGAATAACTAATATTAATAATAAATTTTTATTGATTTTATGTTATAGTTTGTATGTCGGAATAGTTATGATAACTTTTTATTCTACTGTTATTCTATCATTCATGTTTGTTAAGAGTAAACTACTCGACACAAGCATAAAAAAGAAATACGAGTTTTTTTCTTCATCGACTTTTTTTTTTCTGCATGTCATTCAATGTTGAAATTTACTAAATGGTAGATTTATATTTTCATACATATTATTATCATACATAATTATTTAATTGTTATTTTATATTATAAATTATTTTCAATCCTCACAGACAGACATACAACAATTCTATTTTTTCTAACAACATAAAATAAAAAATAAATAGACGTATGGCAATCTATATAAAAAAAAGTACTTTTTTTTTTGCGAATATAACCAGTAATAAAAAACAACAATTCAAAAAGAAAAAAAGACAAAGAAATCATTCTAGGCTTCTTAATGTATAATTGAAAAACAGCAACTATTTTACATTTTCTTTTTTATTTAAATAGAAATAGGATTATCTGCATAGTTTTATTGTTAATTATTAAATATTGTAAGTATTTGTTTTTTAAGTAGAATAGAAAATGCCTAGATATGTATATACAGATCATAAATTATTTATCTATGACAAAATGACGCAATGTGAGAAATGATTCAAAGGAAGAACATTTTTGAGATAAAAGAATAAAACTATGCTATGTCACTGAAGGCAAAAGGTACGGGCCAAAGAACGATGCTATATACTTGTAGTTCGTTTTTGGATTACAAAACAATATTAGAAGGTATGTTCGAATATCATTGGGTGTTTAAGAGTTCGTTCGTTAAAGGTATGATATATAACACTTGACTACGAGCAATTTGACATTGCTGACGTGTATGTTACTGCGTCATCATGAAGGGTATTGTTAATGTAAGTTTTCAAGAGGTTAAAAGCTGTTAGTTTACTGAATTATTAAATGTACGATTTATCGGTTAAAAAAACTTCAATTACTTCATACTGCTTTTTTTTTTAACTATAAATACAACAATAAAATAATCCATTAGAGTAAAAAACATTTTTATTTTTATGAAATTTTTTGTAAAAATTTTACCCACAAATTATAACATATGGTTGATCTTTTGTTCAGATATCCTATGAATATATCATCGGAAACAATCACCTATCCAATAGATCATCATCATCATCATAATCATATATTAAATGGTACTCATTCAACTATGTATACTAATGCTTCACCAATTGCTGTTAATAATAAAATAAAAGCTATTCAAGCAAGAAAATCTCGTATTACTCTTCAATCTTATTATGATTTTACTGATATTCAACCATTAAATCTTAGTAATACTGGTGGTACAACAAATTCTTCAAATCTTTTTCGACAAAAATTACTTGAACGTAGTAAAGATTTACATTTTAATCATATATCTACGCATCGTAATTCTCGTCCATCTATTTTATCTTCGATATCAACTACAAATCATCATTCATTAATTTGGCCAAGTTATAATACATCAAATGGATTCATTAAACAACTTCAAACAAATTCACCAACAATGTCATCAACTACTATTGGATTACCGATAAATAAATCATCGAATAATAATAATAATAATAATAATAATAATATGCCTGATATTTATCAACGTTCAAATCGTACACAAACAATAACATATCAACCTTTGACTGAACAACAAAATTCTTCTATATTTATTGAACCACGACATAGATCTTTACCAAAAATGAAATCATCTATACCAAAAACATTTTATCGAAGAGCTTCAAAAGATAAATCTTCATTTCCAATATCACATAATCAACCATTAAAAATATTACATAAAGATTATTCGAAACAATCAAAAAATAATACTAATGCAAATATTATTCATTTATATGAAAGTGAAGAAGATAATGAAAATATGCCAATTGTAGATGAAGAATTTGAAGAATATCTTCAAACATCAACTATTAAATGTGCCAATTGGCTTATTAAATATGTTTTTGATAAAGAATTTGATGACAATAATGAATAGTTCGCGGTGTTTTCTTTTTTGTAATATTCATGTAGTTTTTGTAGATAAGCACTAAAAACTAGTGCGATGCGCAATATGTTTAAATAAAAAAGAAAATAATTATTCGACAGAGTAAAACAAGAATTTCTTTTTTTGTTCTTCTAAATTAATGGTTATACGATAAAACCACACATCATTTTTTTTTTTCACCGGAAAAAACCAACATTGAATTCGAGAAAAAGAAAAAGAATTTTATCATTCAACCATAAAGATACCCTTATCTTTTATTCGTGTATGACTTTCAAGTACAATGTTAACAATGACTTGTTGTTGAGTACATAATTCAGAGAAAGTTTACTAGTTATTCAAAATTTAATTGATTATTATTATTTTTTCTCTCTGTTATTGTTATTATTAATTTTTAATAATAGTTTAAAAATGAAGTTGATAACGTAGATTATATCCTTATCGACGAATAATCTCAAAAAAAGAAACAGATTTGCTGTTTGTTTTGTTTGTAATTATGTAAATAGAATAATTTATTTCTTTCTCTTTTTTTGTCGCCAGGTTAGATTAATCATCGAAACAATAATTGAAGAATTGACAATATTGAAGTAAGTATGTTTAAGAGTTTGAAATGATTAAAAACAAAAATCTATATCGATTCAATCAAATAAAATGTTCGCGTAGTTGAATTTAAAAAAAAATAAAAGGTAATTATTATAAGTAAGATGAAATAGCTAACTTACAAAAGATATTTTTTTACAGCTTAAGTAAGACTTTTTCGTTTGTCGAATTATAAATAGTACAGACGTAGATATTCTAGGTTTTATTTTCTTATTTTATATTCAAATACATATTATATCTATAAAAGAATCGTTTAAAAATATCTTAATGATCTTTGAAAAAGAAAAATTTATTGTATTGACTTAACAAATTTTATTATCAAAAGGTTAAATCAACATCATACTTTTCTCAAAATAGAGACGTTCAAGGTAAGCTTTTTTTGTATCCTGTACCATGAATGAAAAAAATGTTCTAACTCTTATCCTACCTTACTGTGAAGAATAGGATAACAACCCTGCATAACTCTATTGTAAAATCATTGTATACAAACATCTTGCCGTCTACTTTTGGATGCTGAACGAATATTACTGTATCAAAGTACCTAGAACAATTCACTCTTTCGAACACCAAAAAAAAAAAAACAAAATATATAGATTAATTTCTCATTATTTATTCTTAATGAATAAAACTCAAATAGATACAAAAACAAAGAGAGTATTGAAGAATTTCCCTACAAAAATAAATTAGTTAATCTTTATTTTTCATCATGAATGAAAAATATTTCTGCAAGTATTAATCTTTCTGTTATATCAGCGGCGGTGCTACGAGGCTTGGATAGGGCTCAAACATTTATTTTTCGTTTCCCAAGTCGATAATTCCATTGTGCGGATCTGTGAATTTCCGCCAAGTTTCCGTCGGAAAGAGGTCGTATCGGGTCGGAAAAATAATAGGAACTTGGAAAGAGGAATCCGGTGTTCGAATTTATTTCCTTAGTATTCCGGTCGCAAATGGTCCGTATTTCTTGATCTGCGTTGACAAATTTATATAGTGCATCGAAACTCTTACACAACCATTAAAATTTTTCATTGCCTTCAGTAGCAAATAATATCATTTTCGCAGTGATGCAGACTTAGAAAATATTTAATTTCGTATGACTAAATGTTGGACTTTACATTGCCTTCGTAATAAGTGAAGTAGAATAGTAGTGGAAACTCGAATTAGATAAACTAAAAATTACCAAAAGTTTTAGTAGCTAAGTTGACATGTCTAAGAAATATTTTCAAGAAAATGAGCAAACTAATCATTATTCTATTTTTCCAGTAAATCAGATCGAGAATTCTTCTTTCAAGAGTTGAAATTAAAAAAAAAGCAAACGTTGGCGTGTTTGTTTGAAAATACATATTTTGATATAAGTTGCGAATTTTTTATGAACCACACCAAGTTTATATAGTCAAAAATATGAATTGGAAATAAGAAGTACTAGCTGCATGTATATCATCTGAATGATATAAAAAGGTTCGTCCCCCCTCTTCCTCCTCCCTATTCGTAACTTCTCGATCGAGATCTTATAAAGATTGCTGAGTCTACAGCAGATTCAAAATATTCCATCGCCTATATGTTATACATATCGCATTCTATAGATAAAGAATTTAATAGATATTCACAAGACAATCTTTAAAACATATCTTTTTTATTTTTCATACAGAATCATCTGATATTTTCTTGTTATTTATTTACAAATCGAAACAAAACTAAATTATTCTTTTTCTATTTTTTAATAACCATATTTTTCATTTAATGCTGTTTTTCCATCACCTGTTTGTTCATTTTCAGGTGGCATCCATTCAGCAAATTTATCTTCAGAATAATGATCACTATCATCATATTGATCTTTAGAATTAACAGTTGGATGTCCGGGTTTTCGACGTTTTGTTGTTTGTTTTGTAGAAGTAGTAGGCTCGACGTCAATATTTTGTTCTGATACAGGTTGAATAGGTGTTGTTTCCGATGATACAGATGGTGGTGGAGGTGGAGGTGGTGGTGGTGGTGGCATTTGTTCTGTTTGAATTGTAGGTTTTGTTTCGATTATTGGTTTTGGAAGATGAGGTAATTGTGATGATGGAACAGATAATGGTTTAGTAATTAAATTTTGTTTAGCTTCTTCACGTATTTTTTTTTTCCATATTTGTATATCAAATTCTCTTGGTTTACATACTTTAAGTAATTTTACATGTTGTCGTTCTTCATTTTCAATTTCTAATAAACGTTTTTTCCATTGCCATTTAGTTTTCATATTTAATTTTTCACCTTGTTTTAATTGACGTATATATAAATCAACTTCATCAATATCTTTTTCAAGATTATTTGCATTTTTTATTGCATTTTCTTCTATTTGTTTAGCTGTTTCTAATTTATTTTCAAGATCAATTTGTTCTTTATAAAGATTTGTTAATTTTAAACAAAGTGAATCAAATGTTTCAATTTGTTTTTCATTATTTAAATGACCAGACCATTCCATACGTTTAAGACGTTTTTTTTCTAAATCACCTGTACGATCATAAAATGTATCTTCATCTTCTTCATAAAAATCATTTTCTTCAAGTAATTGTCGTTTTATTTGTTTTATACGTGGTGTATTTAATGATGATGCTGATGTACCTTCACGTAAAACATCATGTTCATCAAGTATACGACAAGCTTCAAGTATACATTCATGTATAATTTCTTTACGTTTACAATGTTTTTGTTCACATTCAGCTTGTATAGAATGACCATATTCATCAATAATAGGTAATTTAATTGTACAACGATATGAACCAAATTGATGATCTTCAACATCATAAATAAGTTCAGCACCTTCACGTTCAAAAAATGCGGTTAATGCACGTTTTGGATCTTTAAGATAAAATGGTTCTTTTTTCGTATTATTGTTATTATCATCATCATCATCTTGTGAAGGTTCATCAACCTATATACATATATAGAAATTATTAATAAAAGAAATTTTTTTTTTCAATAATAATTTTTTAACTTACACGTGACATAATTTCTTTAAGTACAACTTTATCATTTTTAGCTTGTTGATATTCAAGACGATTTTTAAGATCATCAGCAGCTGTACGTTTTTTATTTTCTTCTTCATTTCGAAAAAATTGTTCTTCTTGAATTGATTCTTTAGAAACAACATTCGTAGTAGTAGCAGCAGCAGCAGCAGCAGCAGCAGCAGTCGATTCATCGGTTTCTAATCCCATACCCCAATCCATTTCAATATCATTATTATTATTAGCTTCATTAGCAGCACTTTCTCGTTGAGCACGTACAGCAGCAAGCATTTTAGCTCGTTTTGCATGATATTGTTTCATTTGTTCATGTGTTAAATCATCACCAGTAGAATTATCAATACTATCAGCTTCAGCTAATGTATCACCTTGAATAACATAAAGTCTTGTCGATTGTCCAAATTTAATAATATAACCAATTTTAATTCGTACATAAACTTTTGGTTCAAGACGTTTTTTATTAATAAATGTACCATGAGTACTAGCACAATCATATAAATAAAGACCAGCTGGTTGACCATGTTCAAACTCAGATTTATATTGTATAATAGCATGATAACGTGAAATAGTTGGATGTTCAAGTACAACATCACTATCAGGTGAACGACCAAAAACTGTATATGGACGATGAGAAAGTGAAATATAATCAATAATAGAACCATTACGTAATACTTCAAGTGTATATTCAATTGGTGGAATAGAAGATGATTCGGGTATAATATATTGTAAATTTTTATGACGAATTGGTGTTGAAAAATTTGTAGGTGGTAATTCTGGTTTGATAAATGGTGGATGTGAAATTTCTTGATTTTCAATAGTTGATGAAGTTGTACTATCATCTGATGATTTTGATTCTTCTAATGGAACAGATGGAATTTTAAATGTTTCTTCCATTATAAATCAAATAATAATAATTTGATTAATATTAATATTAAATATATATATCTATAATATGATTGAAGAAGAAATTTTCTCTTTACGTTATTGATGTTTCAAAATTTTGTTTTTTTTTTATTGGCCAAAGTTTAGCTAATCACAAAATCCTACATATTACTCAATTCATATTGTAAATTGATTTGATTAATCATTAGTAAATGGATATAATATGAATTTTTGGATAGGTCTATTATTAAAGTAAAAGAATGTGGTGTATTTAATTGAATCATAGTAAAATAGTTGGCGCTAGTTGACACAAATGTCAACATATATTTAATTTTTATTTTATCTCAAAAATAAATTAAAAGAAGAGAGACGTGTCCGGATTCCGTGAGTTCTGAATTCATAGAACTGTCAAAAGAAAATCTCAGCCATGGAATTCAAACAATTCCAACAATTGAAACAACCAAAAGAACTCAAGAATGTGTTGAAATTTAGGTAACAGATCAATTCTAGCGT